TAATAACAGATATACTTCAAGTGCTACAGATATACTTCACGTATCAATGATCAGATTCTATTCAACTGTTAGATAGAGTTTTTATATGTTAAAACTCTGTAATTATGTTCCTTGTATTTAGGCTTGTGACTAGACATTTTGTTGTATCTTGGCTATATATACTTGACTGATAGTATTCAATAAACATACCAATTTAAGTTGTATTTTCTTTGTTTTCATGGAAAACGAATTCTTATGAGTTTTGTGAGTTTTTATTTTACAACTAACATGAAATTGGAATTCATTTCCACATTTGTCTATCAAATGGACCCGGAGTGAGATGAATGAATAAGGGATCGCTGATAGGTTCATGTGGTAAAAAAATTTGGTGAAGTGAAATCACACAATTCGAAATGAACTGCGCTTCTTGAATTCTCAAGGTTGACATCCCGGTGTCTAGAAAATTTGGTCATTTATTTAAAAAAAATGTTTTTAAAATGAATGTAAAAAAATTTGCCAACTCACTTGGTGCCTGTTTGAATCTCATTTTTTGTATCCAGATTCTTTTTTCTACAGTAGCGTGAGAGGAAAGGACGTGCACATTGACTGTGTTGTGTCGTGCTCAGCTTTCCCCCAAAATTACCGTTGGACCACACTTCCAATTATGCTCCTCTTACACTTGCAAATCAAATTTTGTACACAACAAAACTCACATCTTTACCCTACACGCTAAAAGTACCACCGACAAAGGCTTCATCGCCGCAGCTGAGAAACAATCACCGGTGCAATCCACTGATAATTGATCCAAAGGGTAGACACAGAAATACCAACAACAAGCATCTTCATCGGTGCAACAAGATTAGTCCAATTACAAACAAGCACCTGACTCTCCGCCATCCTCCGATCGTCTCTTCAAACAGTACTACCCTTCCATGGACAACGACGGGTCCCAGTGGACGTGTTACCCGGACGACACGGTAAGATATTCCATCTTCGGAAGATGAGAGCTCCATTTTTAAGTTGATCGAATTCCGCGAACATCAATGAAAGGCTCCTTTTTTCTGCCTTACGTTGTCGTCTTCCGTCCAACCAAATATGTAATTCAACATCCCATTTTTTCAATTGCAGCGTTACCCGGTTGGAGACAAAGACCCGTTGCCTCATACGACTTCTAGCCGTCGTTCGCCTCAGGCAATGGTAAGGAAGTCGGCACAATGGAACCCAACGGAGCACAAAGTCTTCATTGAGACCTGTGAACTGGTCATCGCTGAAGGACATCGACGTGGCAAATGCTTTTCCCCGAACGGGTGGGCTCAAATCACAGAGCTGTTCAACGCTGGAACGGGAAAGAGTTGGACTACAAGCCAAATGAAGAACTACTGGAACAAACTCCGAACAGAGCACAAACACCTGTTCGAGTTACTGCGATGCACGGGAATTGAGTACCGCTCAGGATCCGGAAGAATTCACGCCCCGGAACATTGGTAGGAAGCCAAAATTAAGGTCCGTTATCTTTCTGTATTCATTTTCGCCTGCTGCAGTTCGAGATGCAAGTGATTGGGAATGTTTCAACACTAGCTAGTGTAGATATTTTTCTTGACGAATTCAGGATGTATTCTTTGTTTGCTGTTTGTGTCCTCGTCTAATGCATTATCATCTTTACTTTGAATAATATCATTTAGAAAACATTGATAAAATTGGAAGCGCCCAAAATCTCAACGTTGGGTAAAGTATCTAATAATAATTAACATAATGGATATTTAGTTGCTTCAAATTGGATGATCCAACCTTGAAAAGTTTCTCATAAGATCATTTCTCTTTACACTGCAGATAGCATAAATGAGCAAGACTTGAGTTTGTTTTTGTTCGATAAAAGCATCTGTCTTTCATGATAAATAATCTGTTAGAATTCTAACACTAGATTTCTAATCCAATTGGAACTTTGTATCTTTTTTCTTCTCTCAATATGAATATTTGTAGTGCAATAATTAATAATCCATGTGAAACCTCAATTTTTCTGTCCATATGTGTACATACTAAAAGAACTGAACACATTGATACAACTTCTAGGATGAGTTCTGTCCATATGTGTAGTGAAAGAACTGAACACATTGATACAACTTCTAGGATGAATATGTGTAGTGCAAGAATTAATAATCCATATACAAACTGTTGGCTATAATGTCAAAATATTGTTCATTTTTCCTTACATTTGGAAAACAGGATTATTAAACTAAGTCTTGTGAATCCACTAGTATAAATAAAGAAGCTTGAATTTAGTGGGTTTTAAAACATAAGAGACTAAGATTTCACATTCTACCAATCTGGAAAGTGAGAGAGTACCAATTTGGGTTCGAGATGCAAGTGATTGGGAATTTTTCATATCAGAAGTTTAGATATTTTCACGTGAGCAAAGTCTGTCATCTTCCTACAATGTTTGTGGTTTTGTTTTGCACCGGATAAGTAATTACCTATGCATGAGTTAGTTCTTTGCGTTCATTGACGGGGCCTTTGCTACATTTTTGC